CAGTAAGGACTTTACTTGTAACTCCCACTCTCTTTCCTTTTCACATTAAAACAGTCAAGTACTCATGTCAAGAGTAGTTTCTAGCCTAACCCTGCTTCAGGAGGCACAGGGAACAACCCCTGCACAAAGCTGGTTTCCTACTAAGTGGGTGTCATGCCATTAGAGGTCCAGCCACCTCATTAAGAAACTGCTCAGAGGTGGCATGAGTTTGTCATTTGGGGAGAACACATGTGCCGTAAGAGAGAAGCAGGTGGCACCTGTAATGCATGCAATGTCACTAAAATGTAAATATGCTATTTATCAATTTGTCGGCAGGCTGCCAGCCCGGCCTCTCCCTGCGCCACTGGCTCTGACGGCTTCGGCAGCGAGCGATCCTGCCTCCTGCCCCTAGCATGCACCCAGTGCCAGGCTGGGTGCAGGCACGCATCCCGCTGTGACCAGTGGGTGCTGCAGGGTTAAAATCCCCCAAAGTAACTGGGTAAGGAGCTGCTGGCTCCACGGCGCGTGGGCCGGGGAAGAATAGGCAGCGCTGGCTCACCGTGGGAGTGGGTAGGCAGCACGGCTGCTGGTGCTGTGCCACGCCATTCCCGTGGTGCCTGCACCAACCTCCCTGCCCCATTGCCTGCCTGGGGGCCACGGGGATGCTCTGGGCCTTGGCAAGGGGACATGGGCACACAGGGGATCTCCAGCCCTGGGTACCGCCAGCATTCCCTGCACATCCCTGGGAGGACAGGCCCCCACAAGGTGCCCTGTGCCTTCCCTGCCCATCCTGCTGGGCCCTGCTGAGGGTGCAGGCTGAGCTCACCCTCCATCCATGAGCACCATGGCATGCAAGGAGGGGTACCCAGAGTGAGGGGTACCAACAGCACACCGTTCCCATGACAACCTCCCTGGAGACAGCAGCTGATGCGGGAGAAGTGGGAGGCGAGGGGCCCACGGACCCCTCCATGCTTGAGCTCCTGCATGGCAGGACACAGCAGGGTGTAGCAGCAGAGGGAATGCACCCAGGGGTCTTTTCCTGGCCTCAGGCTCTGCGTGCCCCATCCTACTCTCTGCCCGCTGCCACTGCAGTGGGGTGCAGGCAGGCATGGCAGTGCTGGTGCTGCCCGCCCGCACTGGGTTTGCATGGGGGGGGCAGGGGGGGTTGCAGAGCAGGGTTTGCATGGTGGGATTTGCACATCTGGGTTTGCATGGCGGGGTTTGCACAGCGGGGTTGGCATGGAGGGATATGCATGGAGGGGAAGGGGTTAAGTGCCTGCAAGGCTGTCCCCCAGTGCCAGCAACGGAGGACAGGGGAGAGGGGGACAGTATCTCCTGCCCTCTGCCGCAGGGAGCCCGTACCTGAGAACGGTCCCTTGCTGTCACTTCTCATCTGCATGACAGTGGCAACCAGGCTCCTGCAACACGGCTGAGCACTTTCCTTCCCCGCAGGGACGGGCTGGCACTTCCCGCTTGGCAGACGAAGGCGGGGGAGAGCGGGCGGGTGGAATGGGGACAGGGACGGGGACAGGGACAGGAGCTGCGTGGCCTGCAGGCATCAGACCTTTGGGCATGGCTGCGGCACGGTGCTGCGGCAGGGTGCAGACAGTGCCCTGCCGCAGGCAGAGCCATCCCCACCACTCTGCCCTGTGCTCCCCTGGCCACCATCGCTTTGGAGGTTGCTCTGCTGGCCCTGTGCCGTGGCCTGGGTGCCCCCCGGCTGGCTGGCACATGTCCGTGGAGCCTGGTACCCCACCAAGGCATCGTGCCCAAGCTGTCCCTGAGCCTCCACCATGGGCACGGTGCAGCCCCTGCTCACAGCCTGGTCCCTCGGCTCCCCCAGCCAACACCACTGGCTTGGAGAGACCAGCCTGTGCCTCCCTCCACACAATGCCTCCCAACATCTGGGAAAGGGGAGGGCTCCATTAGCACCCCCACATCCTCCCTGCATGGCACAGGGACCAGCCACTCTCCCGGCTCAGGGGGAGCAGCCACCAGCTCCATGGCTGCCAGGGCACAGGGCACATGGCGGGCAGTGCCACTGGTGCCTGTCCATTCCCCCCTGGCCCTGTGCACCCCGATGTTCCCTTGCAAGGGGCTGGTGATGCTTCAGCCCCCAGCCACCCCCCCCGCCCGCCCC